GTTTTGTTAGAAATCATTATTATAGTAATTTTAGACCAATTAAGTTAATAAACGAATTATTTCTGTGATAAAGCACGGGGAACCATAATTTCTTTCAATAATTTGTTAATAACAATTAAGTTAAATTATTATTGAATTATTTTATTTCTTATGATGGGACAGTATTGATTTTCATCGATAAGGTTGTTAAAGTAGCTTGGAGTCAGATAAAAAATAATTTAGTCGAAAAGTGCTAGTTTAACACATTTTTTCTTACATATTTTTGCACCAACACAAAAAATCAAAATTCGGCTCTCACAGTTCTCTTCAGAATTTATTTCCGAGTATTTCTGTTCAAGAAACATTAAAATCGATTAAGAAATAAGACCTGTAGCCTATTTTGAACAAGTGTTTGTCCGTTCCAGACCACTGTGCCGCGTCTCGCGTCCCCCCCCCCCCCAATAGAAGAACGTAGTGCCGAGCGCTACCTCCCACCCTATCTCCTCCACGCGATCGGCTGCCTGGCAGCCCAGACAACACGCTTGTCAGAATGAAAACTTTAAGAGAACTTTTTCAAGAAAACATTTAGATATCTTGGAAATTATGTCAAAATGGTATCTGATAATCATCATTTACTAGAGGCATCTACTACGAGAGCTCTTTGAGATATCTCATTTGTGACATTTCTTAAAAATGTTATCTTTATGATATCATGCTACATGATATCAGTTTAAACTCTCATGAAAGACATCATAATGTTGTCTGGTCTCTGAACCGTCCAAATGCGCATGCGCCGCAATATATACATATATACAAACGGCTCAGAAACTAGATAACATAATGATATCTTTAATGAGAAATCCATTTGATGTCATTACAAAGATATAAATATTTTCAAGAAACACACATAACCCTTAAAATTTGCAGTATTAAGCTGTCCGCGGATGAACAGGCACGTAATGATTTTTGTTGGAAAGAAGAACACGACATTTTATGTTGAAAAGTTTATAGTGAGTTTGTTAACCAGTCACATTGTTTGTCTCGCTCTCTACGCAAAGAGGTAAGTATATATTAAATCTATAGTGCAATAATACAATCTTCGGATAATCTTTCGCACCATTTGATCACCGTTACATTGTGTTATTTCGTCGACGGTACAATTCCGATTCTTTCCATCCGTTGCTTATTCATACGTCCTATATAGGACGTATACAGAACTTCATGAAGCCGCCAATCGCCGGGGAGCAGAATCTAAATCTGCAGAGTCCGCAGATACACCTGCACTTACTGTCAGCGCCGTCCGCGGATCGCTCTCAGATAATGAGCCCGCCGACGGCGGGCGTTCCCGGTTCTCAGTTACCTCCGCGTTTGCCCGCGGGCCCTCACGGGCCGCACGGGCAAGCTCCCGTTGGCTACCAAGTTCACGGGACCAATCACCCAAACGCCAACCTGCTCCAGTCCGGGATGCCGCCGTACAATTCGGCGCCGCCGCCGCCGTTGCCGTCGCAGGTCGCGGCGAGCCCGGCAGATCCAGACCCGTCGCAGTTCGCTCCGCCTCCACCTGCGCCTCTCTCGTCGGGGCAACCCATGGCGAGTCCCCCGGGGCCCGGTTTCCCTCAGGCGCGACAGAAGCAGTATTTACCACCGATGCCGGGTCAGGGTCTGACGAGTCCCGTAGGGCCGGGCTTGTCGCAACCTGGCCAGAAGCAGTACGGCGGCTCCATGCCTCCGTTACCGGGGCAAGGTCTAGCCAGTCCTCTGGGGATGAACCGTGCGTCGCCTGGCGTCACCTCGGACTACCAGCAACTGGCGTACCAACACCAGCCTGGATATCACAACCAAATGGTACAATTGCTTGAAACGCTCCGCCATCTTGCGAGTAATTAAGATTACTGTTCGGAAAAGAGTGACGATTGTCTTCCTTTTGCAGGACATGTATAACAATCAGAGAAACCTGTATCAGAGTAACGCACCGAATGCCACGGGATACCAACCGGGATTGCAGCCTCAACGAGCTAGGCGACTTGACCCGGAACAAATGCCGAGTCCGGTACGAGTTGGACGCTGGATCCTTTTCGATCCGGTTTAGGCGCCGGTGTTGTTTATTGTCTCGAGTCGAGCTAAGCCTGTGTCCTTTAATGTGTAGATCCAAGTGATGCAAGACGATCAAAATATGAGGGGCGGCGTGTTCATAACGAATCAGAAAGGTCTCGTGCCGCCGTTGGTGACGACAAATTTCGTGACTCAGGATCAAGGAAACACCTCGCCCAGATACATCAGGTCCACTATGTACACCGTTCTCACCACTACCGACATTATAAAGCAGGTACATTAGAATAGACGGAGAGTCGGTTTTCTTATTTTGGTGTTATCGATCACATGATGCATTCGTATCTTACGCAGACCAATGTTCCCTTCGGACTCGTGATAAATCCGATGGCCCGTATCGTGCAAGGGGAATGCGAACCACCGATTGCAGACATGGGCGAAATTGGACCGGTACGGTGCATACGCTGTAAAGCCTATATGTGTCCGTTCATGCAATTTATCGACGCCGGTCGAAGGTTCCAATGTATGTTCTGCAGAGCGACGACGGAAGGTAACGATTGCGAAATTACTTAACAAGTACTCGCGCAAGTTTGTTGCGTAAAATGATTGATATCTATGTTTCCTGCAGTTCCAAATGATTATTTCCAACACTTGGACTACACAAGTCAACGTTTAGATCGTTACGAAAGACCTGAATTTTTTGAAAATGTTTGATACATAAAATTACAAATACAATTCTGTCTCGAATTATACATCAGTGAGGGCTTTACTAAATATATACATTATTCTTTTATAGTACGTCGCTGCACGCCCAGTGAAGAACGGAGTTCACTATTTATCGTCGGGTGATCCGATGATCGGGAGGACCGGCAGAAGAGGAGTCGATTGCCAGTAGAGGTTGAGTTCAGAATGGCGCTGCTCTGGTGGGAGAAGATATGTCTAGTGTTATTATCGCTCGCCGGTTTGAGGATCGTCGTGAAAATCGACTTTGTGGCGTGGAAGAAGTTGATCGCTCCTAATCTTGGATTTGGAATCAATCTACGAATGCAGGGAAAATGGGCGGTGGTGACGGGCGCGACGAACGGCATTGGAAATATATTCTGTATATTGTACCTACTGTATATTGTATCTATGTATATAGTGCAGTATAATAAATTTTATGTTTATTACATTATAATAATGAGAAATTAATTTTCCCCCAAAAATTATTAGAATATCTTTTAGATATCATAAATGCGAAATTTATATGTTGACATATATCTGATTTCTTTTAGACATCATAAACAAGAACTCTATATGTTGACAAACATTGAATAGATTATCCGGTCGGATGCCGGTTTTCCGCGTGACTGCCAAGATCGGTGCTCGAGCGAGAACGATTGCGTGCTTGTCTGCGTGATGTAGCGAGAGTAGCGGATACAGCGATAAGCAATGTACTCTGTGACGAGGTAAAAGATAGCTGATTTGAGAAATCTTTTTGACATCATTTTCATGATATCTTTCTGTTCTCAAAAACCGGCGCATTAGAGAACATTCTGACATCTTTATGTTATATTTTTGAAGCCTCTATAAGTTATCAGGTTCAGAAATGAGATATCATTTAGAAATCTTTTTTATAACATATTGTTTTGTGGGAGAGATTCACGTTGAAATCTGTTTCAACTTGATAGTTATCATGAATCCTACAAGGAAAGAGGACGAAGAGAGAAGGAGAAGCTTGTCTTCAAGAAAGACAAAGGATGGAAGAAAAGGAAAGAGGAACATGGAAGAAAAGAGAGATGCGGAAAGGAAAGAAAGGTTATATTGTTGTTTAAGACGATTTTGTGACGTCATATTAGTTCGAGCATTGACGCTGAAAAGTTCAGATTTCCAACTTCTGTAGCGTCAAAGCGTCGTGCGCGATATTTAAAAGTGTCATTGTCAATTTTCATTTTTGTTAGCGCGGGATCGCGGGTTCCGCTGACCAACAACCGCGCTCCAGAATACCGGAACCACTCAGCGCTGAGCGCGGAGAAAGCGTAGCGCGAATTCGAGAATTCACTGTGGGAGACGAGCAACGATCACATCACACACAGAAAGGGCGAGACTGAATCGACTTCGAGAAACAGAAATATTTATTATTCACAGTCACCGGTGAAAGTCGGAGCACGGGCTCGAATCACCTTGCACAGAGGCACCAACAGCTGCAAACACCGGAGGCGGAAATCTTCAAGTTTCCCTAATTCCTGCTTCGTACGGCGCGACGGAAATCTTGCCGGACGACAAATAATCGCCCTATCGATCGGAAGATCTTGTTCGCGCTGTCGGTGATCTTCTCGCGGGCAGGGGGAAACTCGCGCTCGCGAACAA